AGGCTCTTACCATCTGAATCCAGTGTCGGATGAAAATCACAAACAAAGGTATGATTCTTTTGCTTTAGAAAAGGAAAAAAAACACACATGTGCACACAAAAGCTCTGAGGTGTGACGTATTTGAACTTCAATCCTAGAACATGCTTTTTTAAATGTTAAAGGGAAAAAAAAGTGATTTCCAAAATAGTAATATTAGCAAGATGTCTACCTGCACCCTAAGGCAAGTTGCTAGAGGGTAGGTATGTACGGGCAGAGCCTGGCAGAGACTTTGGCCTGTGTTGGGGTACACTTGCTACATTTCTCAGTTTTTTGAATGGGGGGGGGCTGGGATGGGACTTGAACTTGGGCATGTGTTGAGCAGAGAGTCTCTCAGTAAGATAAGATGTTCAGACAGCACCTGGATCTTCCCCTCAGCCGGGCCAGAAGGAGGGGAACCATAATTTTTGTCCATGTCTGAGAGAAAGTATGCCTTTTACCACCATGGCCTTTAAAATTAAGAATGCAGAGCTTCATGTGTGGGAGGATCTGGGCATATGTCACTGGATTCTGGGCTGTGGTATTCACTGGCAGAAGGGGGTTCCTCATCAAACGATGGCCAGGACAGTCATGTTACTTCAGCTGGTCCTTCCTGCCCTTGGTGTTTAGGACACTGTTGTCCTTTTGTGCTCACAGAGTCAGTAAGAAAGGAAAAATGGGCTTGACGCCTATGGCTCAAGCAGCTAAGGTGCCAGCCACATACACCTAAGGTGGCAGGTTCGAATCCCCAGCCTGGGCCCGCCAAACAACAATGATGGTTGCAACCAAAAAATGGCCGGGCGTTGTGGCGGGCGCCTGTAGTCCCAGCTATTTGAGAGGCTGAGGCAGGAGACTCGCTTGAGCCCAGGAGTTAGAGGTTGCTGTGAGCTGTGATGCCATGGCACTCTACCCAGGGGGATAGTTTGAGGCTCTGTCTCAAAAAAAAAAAGAAAGAAAGGAAAAATATAGTTGAAGTAGTTGAACCTCACCCTGAGAACATGCTCATTTAAATGTTAAAAAAAAGACATGATTTCCAAGATGGCAATCTCCACTAGGCCAAGTCTTTCCAAGATGGCAATCTCC